GCGTGCATTCACCTTTCAAAATCATGTTAGTCACTCTATGTTTCCCTTTAATAACCTAAAATACACATGAAATGGAATTTAAAATTTCAAGCATGCCACATGAAACTCTGCTCCTTGGCCATTGTATTTTAATTCTAAACAAATACTTAGTGATCTATACCACACATTTAAAAATAAAACCCTAGTTCTGAATTTAACATTCCCTCTCTTCCTCCTGAAATTGCACAAGCTTCATTAAAACAGACCGGCTGAATGACCTTATGGGCATCCCTACTGGAGTTCACTTCTTCCAATAACAAAATGGTTTCCTCTAGGCTTAAAATTATCTCACCTGAATCATCATCTTAAATTCAGCTTCCCACTAGGATTAGCACCCAAAAGAAATGTTAAGATCTAGTTATTTCTGCTGAGCACAGAAATGATTGGCTTGAAAGCTTTAGCTATGAAAATAAGACTATGGAGTTTTAATTTGAAAACTTTGCATCAAGGGGTTGTAAAGATAAGAACTAGTCAACTTCAAGCTATAATCACTGCTTTGGTAGAGAACTAAAATTCTGGGCACAGAAAATGACACAGCTGAGAAATCTTTTTACAAGGCTAAAGAATTCTAGCTTTTTATTAGTCGCTCAGTTTCTTTCAGTGCCCTATTCACATTTTGAAAAGGAAATGCAATGTTACTTGTTTATCAATTTTTGAGTCTCAGAATCTCAAAGGTTACTTCTAAGCTGACATTAATTTACTAACATCAACCTATCTTACACTATATGCCCATCAAGTTCTTAGTCACTTTTAAGCAAAGAATGAAGTTCATCCTTCAGACTGGCTAAATCACCCCCACTTACTGGTTACAGACACATTTATAACTGCCTTTATCTCACCTTTTGTCTTCCCCTGAAGATTTTTACAATCAACAATAAGAGACAGTTAAAACCATTTATTAGATTGCCTTTCAAGAAACTTTAATTTACTAACACAAGAGTCAGAGTCTTATCAATTCAAAGCACTGATAGACTAGTCAACCCAGTTAAATTCTTACATGAAGAGGAAAAAGGACAACCATGCATAGTTTTTTAAAAAATGTTTATTTTTTCAAAGAAAAACGGCAATAGCCAATTGGAAACCTACTTATTCTTCAACTCCAATTTTGTTTTCTTTAAATTTAGAAGTGACTTACTGATTACTATTTTAAACAAACCCCCCCTTTTCCCCTTTAAATGTTTACCATCTACTCGTGCTGAATCCTTCCAAGGAGATTGCTCCAGCGTATTATCTCCAGGTCCTCGCTTTGCTCCTTTTACCAAAAAATGCAAAACACAATTCCATCGTGCATCTTAAGGGCTCCAATCGTCAAAAATAGGAAAAAAAAATTCTTTGGAATAGCCAATTAAGTTGAATAAAAAAATCCACACGAATGCGGTTTGGTTGGGGCAGGAATCCACTCCTATGTTCCTGGTAATCTGATCCCGCTCCATGAATCCTTGTAATTCATCCTCCCTATCCTATCCACATTATGATTTGAATCCAATGATCCAGCTCCAAGGATTGGGATCCAGTGAGCCCTCTCCAATCCAAACCTTTATAACCAGCAAAACCAAAAAAGAGGAGGCAAAATGTTAGATACTGTAATCAAAAAAGGTTTCTGGGGAATGATGAGTTATGTCTGTCATCAGTTTAACAGATGTACATCAATAACTATCAAATTCCCCAAAACAAGTTTCTGAATGGTGTTCAGATAAATTTTAGAAACTTAACCATCATAGAGACTAATTGGAAGAAGCATTTTATATTTACAGTTCAACTGATAATGCCAACACTTGTTACTTTACAGCGCATTACAGGTTTTGTGGTTGCAAAAAGAGTTATGTAGTTGAAAGTTTACTGGTATTGCTACCCATCTAAGTCTAAACTAAATCTAATGCTCCCATCTGCAATTTAATTTGTAAATTAAAGTGTTTCAAACATGAGTCAATTATGAATATTAGTTTAAAGGGGAAGGTGAGACTTAAAAGTACTCCCAACTAGATTATCTACACCAATATGTTGAATTCTATATTCTGCTTTCATTTTGTCTTTAAAAAATGAAATAGCAATGCTCTATCAGTCACACAGAGGACATGCAGATTTAGCAGTATTGATATTATACTCTATCTCATTGGAATTAAAGACACCCTGTACCCACATGTGTATCAACAGCAGGTCACAAATAACAGTTGTTAACTAAGCACTGTGACACATTAGCCAGTTCTTCCCACATTAGTCCCTACTAAAATAAAAAAGGGGGAAGGGAGCAAATTGTTACAAATGGGCAAGGTAATTTTGCCACAATTGCCAAGGTTTAAAGAGGAAAGCAATTGTAGCTAAAGATTACTGCATAAGAAGCAGTTTAAAAGTATTTTAAGGTAGATATACTCATTTTCAACCCTTGTCTTTTAGTATAAGGTCAATACTGCCAATTTATCTGTGACAATAGCACTTGGAGTCATACCATTGCCTCCATTATTGATCTGATCCTCCTCAATCCTCCTTTTGACAATCCTAAAATGATTGAAATGTGCTCCACAATCCTTAATCCAAAGCATTCTTAATCCATCTCTTCAGATATGTCTACAGAAAGACACATGAAAAGCAAGATAAACATAAGAACTTCCCCAGGTAAGATAACCACAAACACCCCCCCAACATCCCAGTTCACACAAACCAGAGCAGAATAGACATATACACAATATCACAGTCTGAAGAGCATGGAGAATTAACTAAATTTAAACAATCCTGTCTATGACATCACTTAAAATACAATTTATCAAAGACATGAGGGGAATGTAGATGTTAGGAGCAAAGGGATATTACACAAAAATGCGATTCAACACTTTAGCCCACTCTGAACAAAACAGTTTGAATTAAAAAATGAAAAGATTGTACTGAGTAAAGGAAAACTGTATACAACATGGGTTCTACAAAAAGTGTCACCAATCATCTTATGTACGAGAGCGAGATCTGCTATGACGGGGAGAATAGCGTGGTGATCCTCTGCTTCTCCTTGGGGAGTAACTGCGACTCCTGCTGTTGCTTCTGCTACGGCTTCTGCTACGACTACGGCTTCGAGATCGAGATCTTCCATAACTTGGACTTCTGGGCCCATCAACTTTAACCCGGATGTAGGCAGTTTCTCCCTATTGGATAGACAGAACTTTCCATTGAAAGATCTAAGCTTTCACCTGTTTCAGGCATGCTGAATGAATACAATGTAACTAAAACCAGAAATCTGGCAATTTACTTGGACACCCTTGCCTGAATCCTTACCTTCAAGTTCCACTGTTAAGACCACTGTATCCAATTCTGGCCAAAGAAAAGAATAAGTGTATGACCTACCTCATGAGATCTAAACTTAGTGTTATCCAGTTTTCGAACTGCATAGGTCATATCTTCTTTCCGAACAAATTCCACGACACCAGTGCCATCTCGGTAAACATCAGCATAACATACATCACCTGCTTCACGCATGTGATCCTTTAAATCCTGCCAGCTTCCACTTGGAGGCAGTCCTGGAAAAGTGGGTTTTTTTGCCCTCAATACCGGTTATTCTAAATTATACATCACACAGCGTTGTGTATTAGAGCAACAGCTTAAAATGTACTTAATGATTACACTTAATAGGTTCCAGTTAGGGAGCTGGAAAGATGCTGGAACCTGGAGTCCAAAATGACTTAGAGGACCTTCCTATTCTAATACCACAACCTATTTTGGTGTCTCACCATCAGAGTCATCCTTCCTTACTACATAAACCCCCGAACTAAAGCACGTGCAGATTCAGGATGAAAAATCTGCCTTTCAAGTCGCTCAAGCCCAGGGGATCTTTAAAGTGGTTTCTGTCCTTCTCAACCAACCCACAGGGACGGTTTAAACTCACCGGAGACAACCACTCTGTTTTCAGACCGCCTGGATGGGGGGCCATAGCGGCCCCGGGGAGCTCCACCTCCTCCACCCCCGCCGCCGCCTCGACCGGTACCACGGCCGCTTCGGGGAAACTCCACCCGCAGACGATATCCATCGTAATCATAGCCGTCGCGACCGTACACCGCGTCTTCCGCGTCTCTGCAGGATCACAGGAAGCAAGGGGAATGAGAAGGGCCGCCGCGAGGAGACGCGAACTCCGCCGGGAACGAGAGGACCCCGCACATGCGCACCCAAGGCGGAGGAGCCCACATGCGCTGCATAATAGGAGCCCCTCCCCCACCCAGACACACGCCGGGCTCCGGACCACTCCACCAGCCCTCAGCGCCTCAGTTTCCCGCTCCGGGCCTGCGAGGGTGTCTCCGGGGACGGCCGCGACACCGGAGAAGCCACGCCGGCTCGGCTCCTCGCTCGACTCCTGCAGGCCGACGCCGGCTGGCCCACAGCCTCCCATAAAGGCCCCCCTACCCCATTCTCTGTGTTAAGGCCGCGGAGCCTTCCCCAACTACTCCAACCTATTTCTTCAAGGCCGCGAGCCCCATGCCGCCTCACCGCGGGTCCTCGAACTCAACGAAGGCGAAGGGCGGTCCCCCGCGGCGATTCTTGAGGTCGATGTCGCGGATAGCGCCGTATTTGTAAAACACGTCCTCAATGTCCTTGGTTCTGATGTCTGGAGGTAAGTTACCCACGTAGATACGACAGTCGTTGTTCCCCGCCGGACCACGAATCACACCACCTCCCGACATGGCGGCGACGAAAAGCGCGGACTCGAGAAAGGGCCTTCCCACCAAGCCTAGCGAAAAGCAGAGCGAGCCCGCAGCGGCACCACGTCTCCCGCGGCCCCTCCAAAATGGCGCCTTTATCAGCTCGGCGCACGGATATGGGGGGGAGGGAGGAAGAGAAGCGGGAGGAAGCGGCTCTGCGCACTCACTGCGCACGCGCAGGAGCGTAACGGGTGCTGGTGGGACGCGCTCACGCACGCGCGACGTCACCCTCCGCACGAAAGGAAAAAAAAAAGTCCTTCGCGTTTCCGATTTGTGGAGTAGGGGACTTGTGGAGTCAGCGGCCGTCTGGCGAAAGTTAAATCCGGAACCCCAGTGGAAGGGGTTGTTAACCTCTGTGAGGTCTTCCACGATAGTCCCTTTCTCCAGGAATAAGCCTCTTGGAGAGCACTGAAAGGATTTGGTGAAACCTAGCCTGGAACCTGTCCCGTCATGCTCCGCGGCGCTAACGGCCTTTGGCGGGAAAGCTCCCAGGGGCGGGGCCGCAGGGGAGGGGCCGGCTGGTTGCTGCGGAAACCCGGGCATCCTTGGAGAGTGCGTCGGGCTCCCGGGCCGAGTAGCAGGTAATCCAGCTGCGAGCCGGTTTAGGCTGTGGCTTCCTGCCGGCTCTGCGAACAGTCCGTGACTGCTGAAACAGTGCCTGAGAAGAACCCGACGCGTGTTCCTTTATACATATTGGACACTAAAGGCGGTTCCACCTTCGGTTTAGAACTTAAAATAACTCCTTGCGCTGGTGGCAGCCGGCCGTCCTCTGATCGCTGCTGGTACTGGTCAGCCAGGAGAGACCTGATTGCACGGTTCGCCCTGGGGAGATGCTCAGTGAGTGCTTGCAGAATGCACTGTGCCTGATCCTCCGGCTTTCAAGGAACGTGAAGCCAACGGAACGTGTTTGTGTGCAGAAGGTATTTTTTTTTTAACAACAGTGGATTTTTTTTTAAATTTTTTTATTTATTTATTTGAAAGGCAGAGTTACAGGCAGAGAGAGGGAGAGATACAGAGAGAAAGGTCTTCCATCTACTGGTTCATTCCCCAGATGGCTGCAATGGCCAGAGCTGCGCCGATTGGAAGCCAGGAGCCAGGAGTCTCTTCCGGGTCTCCCACGTGGGTGCAGGGGCCCAACCGCTTGGACTGCTTCTACTGCTTTCCCGGGCCACAGCAGAGGGCTGGATGGGAAGAGGAGCAGCCGCGACAGGAACTGGCGCCCATGTGAGATGCCGGCATTGCATGCCGCAGCGACTTAACCCTCTGAGCTACGGTGCCACCCCCTGTGTGCAGAATCTTGAAATTCATCCTATTTCCCTAGAAGGTGTGTACATGCAGGGATTGACTCATTACAGGGCTGTTTTGCTCAGTTGGTGTGAGAACCCTAAGCACTGGAGACCACCGCTGGTGTGCAGGACAGTGCCCCCCCCCCCCAATGTGGGGAGATAAGAACTTCCTGCATTTTTTTCACACACATTTGAAACCTGGATTTTTTTTTTTTTTTTTTAATTTGACAGGTAGAGTTTTACAGATAGAGAGAAAGGTCCTCCTTCTGTTGGTTCACTCTCCAAATGGCTGCCATGGCTGGAGCTACGCTGATCCGAAGCCAGGAGCCAGGAGTTTCCTCCTAGTCTCCCACGTGGGTGCAGGGGCCCAAGCACTTGGGCCATCCTCCACTGCTATCGCAGGCCACAGCAGAGAGCTGGACTGGAAGAGGAGCAACCGGGACTAGAACCCTGCGCCCATATGGGATGCCAGCGCCGCAGGTGGAGGATTAGCCTAGTGTGCCACAGCGCCAGCCCCTGAAACCTGGATTTAAAAAAAAAGTAGGGTGTTCATTTTATTTAAAAATCAAAGACAGAGACCTTCCATACACTGTTCACTCCTCAAATGTCTGCAACAGCTGGGTCCGGGCCTGGCCAAAGCCAGGAACCTGGAACTCATTCCAGGTCTCCCACATGGTTAACAGGGACCAAAGTTCTCTGCTGCCTCCCAGGAGGCACATTAGCAGGAAGCTGGGATGGGAAGCAGTAGCTCGGATTCTAACCAGGCACTCTGCTAGGGGATACACGTGTCCCAAGCGATGCCTAAAGCACCCACCAATAAAACCTAGATTTCTGTGTGAAATCCTGGGATATTTAAATGTCAGTAATAATGAAAAAAAAAAAAAAAGTAGTCGTAAGTAAGACAGATATCCGCCCTGAGTTTAACAGTGATTTTGTTCATGGTACATATTTATTTGCAGCAGCCCCTTTCCCTAAGTATAGGAGGCAGCTACAGAGATGCCCTAAACATCATTAAACCTGGATGAAGAAATCCAGGGAGAAAGGGAAATGATGGTGTGGGACCAAGATGAAGTCATGTACAGGACTTGGTACTCCAGATTCCTGCAGGGGCTGGCATTGTGGTGCAGCAGGTGGAAACCCTTCCTGGGGTGCATGCATCCTGTATCAGAGTGCTGGTTCCAGTTCCGGCTGCTGCACTTCTGATCCAGCTCCTTGTTAATGTGCCTGAGAAAGCAGCACATGAGGCCCACGTCCTTGAGGTCCTGCCAGCCACATAGGACATCCTGATGGAGCTCCTGCTCCGGGCTTAGGTCCAGACCAGCCCCAGCCGTTGAGGCCATTTGGGAAGTGAACCAGCAGATGGAAGAAATCTCTGTCTCTCTCTTTTTCTCTGTCACTCTGCCTTTCAGATAAACAAATCTTTAAAAAAGAAATAACTGCAGTGAGATCCTGTTTAGTTCCTAGAGAAGACCAGCAAATTTGACTTATGAGCAGATAGGATCAGAAGTATATATTCAAAACAAAGTGGCTTTAAAATTAAAAAAAAAAATAGCTTATTCAGGAGGAGGATTTTTTTAAAATTCTAAACACTGATTAAATGTATTTTACAATGTCAGTGACCCAGGATAAGAGTTCAGTGTGAACTGAGCAGAGATGCCGAATCTTGAGAACTTCCGCTATCCCTTGAGCTCTCTGTAATGGTTTCCAAAATTATATGTTTGTATGCATATACTTTTTTTATAAGAAAGAGAAGGACCTGTTTTTTTAATTTGAAGTGTGCGTGCCCTGGAAAGCAGTGAGTGATGGCGTGAGTGGGAGACCTGGCTTCAGTTCCAGTGACGGCGTCTCGTTGGAGGCACCTTGCTTAGGCCAGCCCAGCTCCAGCTCTTGGGGCATTTGGGCAGTGAACCAGTGGATGAACGATATCTCAATGTCCCTCTGCCTCTAAAATAAATAAATAAATAAACAAACTTAAAATGAGAAGAAACTGACCAAGAAGACACTGTTTAAACAAGTTTTCTTCATTTTGTAGCTCTGTTCGATTCAGTGACAAAAAAAGATGAATTTCTAAAGATATCAGCCATATCAAGCTGAAATCATGTTTATTCAACAGTTGTTTACCGTGTACTTCTCTTTCTATTCTTTTATCCATCAATTTAGATTTATTCAGGCTCGTCTTCTGTTGATTAATATTGTGCGTGATAACAAAAGTTATTTGAACATGGGTGCTTTTCATTTCAAGACATTTTCATTCCAGAAAAAAATAAGAAAACTGTGAATTGTCTTAGTTTATTCTTGTTTGTTTAATTTAGTACAATCATGTCTGATTTTTTTCCTCCCCGGGAATACAAGGTAGAACATAATATATCGTGTGACCAGTACATTCTTGTTTCTCTGCTGACTCCTGTTTTTGTATTTGAATGTAACCAAATGAGTTTCTGGGTTGAGGAAAAGCCTAATGGCTGTTTGTATCTAGGTCTCCCAGGATGGCATTAGCTTGGTGATCATTACAGTTCAAGTTGTGATGTTACCAGTGCCCTAGCATTATCATATTTTATTTCACAGAAGGGGGAAAAAAAATCATTTTGGAATGAGAATGAACCAAGGTGAAGAATTTCGAGGGATAATTTTTTTCAAATCATGGTGAGCCTTATCATTGATCCCTGCCCCCACAGAGTGTATCTCTCCAAGACAGATTTTATTATGGATTTTATGTTTTTGTTCCCTGGAGTGAGCTGGATAAAGATTGGCCATTCTGTCTGTGTAGGCTGATCTTCACGCAGACTTTGTCTAGCCAGGTAGTAGGCGATCAATTCAATTTCTGCTGATGGAATTACACCCACTTCCAGTTTCTCCTCCTGAGATGACATTGGGGGGTATGTGAGCTCCTCAGACATTCACGGGCAGTTTTATGGATAGCTCCCACAAGCAGCCAGTGTCTTCAATGTGGACCTCACCAGGGTCCTTCTCAGAAGCCACCTTATTTTCAACATGATTGCTGTTGATGAAAAGCTGCTTTCTCCCAAAGAAACTTTTTAAATGCTTCCAATTCAGTCTAGTACCATACTTTGCCCTGGAATTGATCACTTGGAGAGGGAAGAAAGAAATACAAAGAGTTGATTGCTGATTGTTGTAAGAGTTGAAATCACAAGACCCTGTTTTGTAGTGACTTCCCTAGCACTTAAAACTCTACTCATGGTAATAGGCTCACAACTCTGTGAGTATACTAAAAATCACGGAATTATATACCTAAAGCAGGTAATTATGTGGTATGTAAGTTATAACTCAAGAAATGACTGGAAGAAACGTCTGTGTCTCGACAATTAGCAAAATTGCTATTCCTCCAAAGGTATGTGTTGGAGATATTGAGGGAAAGGGGAGGTGTCTGAGAGTAACTTGCACTGAAATTCAGCTTTCCTAATCTAGAAACGGTTTTCAGCATTTGTTGTGCTAGTCCTTACTGTCCTCCCTGAGGATAATTCTGTAACTTTTACTATGAGGCAGATATTTACAGAATAGGAATACTGGACTCTACCATGTATAGGTGTTGGTCTCTGGAACAGTTGGCTACTTTCAGGGTTCTCTGTTCCCTTGCTCCACTTTTTTTTTCTTTTAAAGATTTATTTAAGGGGCCAGCACTGTGGCGTAGCAGGTAAAGCCACTGCCTGCAGTGTTGCCATCCCAAATGGGAGCTGGTTCAAGTCCCGGCTGCTCCAATTCTGATCCAGCTCTCTGCTGTGGCCTGGGAAAGCAGTAGAAGATGGCCAAGTCCTTGGGCCCCTGCACCCACGTAGGAGACACAGAAGAAGCTCCTGGATCCTGGCTTCAGATCTGCGCAGCTCCAATCATTGCAGCCATCTGGGAAGTGAACCAGTGAATGAAAGACTTCCTCTCACTCTCTCTCTCTGCCTCTGCTTCTCTGTAACTCTCCCTTTCAAATACATAAATGAATCTTTAAAAAAATTTTTTAAAAAGATTTATTTATGTATTTGAAAGGCAGAGTTAGAGAAAAAGGAGAGACACAGAGAGATCTTCCATCAACTGATTCACTTCCCAACTGCCCTTAACAGCCAGTGGCCAGACCAGGCCAAAGCCTGGAGCCTGGAACTCCATCTGGGTCTTCCACATAGGTAGCAGGAGCACAAACATTTGGGCCATCTACTGCTGCTTTCCCAGGCACATCCACAGGGAGCTGGATTGAAGTGGAACAACCAGAACACGGACCGGTGCCCATATGGGATGCTGGCATTGCAGGTGGAAGCTTGACCCACTGTTCTTCAATGCCAGTCCTAACTCCAGTTAGTTGTTTTAGTGACAAATATTCTCTGAAAAGGAAGGAAATAATATATATCTTTTCATTTCATATATAGGATATCTCAAAAAGTTTGTGAAAAAAATGGAATTGTGGCTCAGTGAGTAAGACACCACTTGGGATACCCAGTCCCATATTGGAGTACTGATTCGAGTCCCTGCTGCTCTGCTTCTACTCCAGCTTCCTGGTAATGCACCGGGAAGGCGGCAAAGGACAGCCAAGTCTCTCTGTCATTATCACCCATGTAGGAAACCTGAGTGGAGTTTCTGGCTCCTGGCCCAGATCTGGCTTCTGCAGCCTGTTGGAAAGTGAACCAGCGCATAGTGGATCTCTTTTTCTCTGCCATTCTGCCTTTCAAATAAATAAATATTTTTCTGTTTTGTTTTTAAAGAATAATTTAGAGGTGGACGTTGTGGCACAGCAGTTTAAGCCCTGTTTGGGACAACTGCGTCCCGTTTCTGAGTGCTGAGTCAAGTCCCTGCTGCTCTGCTTGTCATCTAACCTCCTGCTAATGCATCCTCAGAGCCAGTGCTTGTGGCTCAAGTGCTGCCCCTGCCACCCACGTGGGAGACCCTGATGGAGCTCTGGGCTCCTGCCTTCAATCTGGCCTAGCCCAGCCCGGCTATTGCAGCCATCTGGGGAGTGATCCAGTAGATGGAAGATTGATCTCTGTCTCTCCCTCTCTGTCAGTTGATTTGTCTTTCAAGTGCTTGAAAAGAAATAAATAAGTAAGCATTTTTTAAAATTTTATTTTGAGGGGCTGGCGCTGTGGCGCAGCAGGTTAACACCCTGGCCTGAAGCACCAGCATCCCATATGGGCGCCGGTTCAAGACCCGGCTGCTCCGCTTCCTGTCCAGCTCTCTGCTATGGCCTGGGAAAGCAGTAGAAGATGGCCCAAGTCCTTGGGCCCCTGCACCCATGTGGGAGACCTGGAAGAAGCTCCTGGCTCCTGGCTTTGGATCGGCGCAGCTCTAGCCGTTACGGCTATCTGGAGAGTGAACCATCGGATGGAAGACCTCTCTCTCTCTGCCTCTCCTCTCTCTTTGTAACTTTGACTTGCAAATAAATAAATAAATCTTTTAAAAAATTTTATTTTGATGCAGAAATATTATGAAATCCATGCTTAGTTTTCTCCTAATACACATTTTCCATGAACTTTTCGAAGACCCTTGTATGTCTCATCTTCCCTAGTAAATTAGGTTGAGGACTGATTACTGCTGTAACTCCCTTTATTACCAATAAATTCTGTTCAGATGAATATCATTGACTATTTACTGACTGCTCTTTGAAAAAGACAGGGTGTTAGATGAGCAGAATGTTGTTTCTATGGAAACTTCATCTTGCTGTCAGTTGCTAGACACAATGGGTACAATGCTTGTTTTTCATTTTGCAGTGTAGTAAAAGATCACCACTTTTTAATCCCAAATAAATCATCTAGAAATGCAGTTTTGGAAATCTTATGTCTGGCCTCCCTCACTCTTTGATTCTTGATTTATTTTTGGCTAATTCTTCCTTTCATTATTGTCTCTTTCTTTCATTATTGAAAACAATAGATAAAATTTTGCCAGAAAACAGCTCTTAAAATTATGTGTTACAAAGATATATGGTTCCCTCTCCCTTTCCCTTTTTTTTTTTAAGGTTTATTTATTGGAGGGACCCGCGCTGTGGTGTAGTAGGTTAAGCAGCTGCCTGCGGCACTGGCATCCCATATGGGCACCAGTTCTAGTCCCGGTTGCTGCACTTCTGATCCAGCTCCTTGCTGATGGCCTGAGAAAGCAATGCCCAAGTGCTTGGGCCCCTGCACCCACGTGGGAGACCCAGAGGGCCATCTACTGCTTTGGATCGGCTCAGCTCGACTGTTGCAGCCATTTTGGGAGTGAACCAGCAGATGGAAGACCTCTCTCTCTCTGTCTCTCCCTCTCTCTAACTCTGCCTCTCAAGTTAATAAATAAATCTTTTAAAAAAAATTATTTATTTATCAGGACCAGTGTTTTGGCGTAGTGGATTAAGCTGCCATCTGCAACTCTGGCATCCCATATGGATGCCAGTTCAAGTCCCAGCTCCTCCAGTTCTCATCAGCTCCTTGCTAATACACTTGGAAAAACAGTGGAAGATGGCCCAAGTGCATGGGCCCCTGCACCTATGTGGGAGATCCAGAAGAAGCGCCTGGCTCCAGGCTTTGGCCTGGCCCACCCCTGGCCATTTTGGCTGTTTGGGGAGTGAACCAGCAGATGTAAGATCTGTGTTTTTCTCTGTCTCTCCTCTCTGTGACTCTTTCAAATAAATAAAAAAGCTTTCAAAAAATAAAGATTTATTTATTTATTTGAAAGAGAGGGAAAGACACTGCTTTCCCAGGCTCATTAGCAGGGAGCTGGATAGGAAGTGGAGCAGCCAGGACTCAAACTGGCACTCATGGGCTGCCAGCGTCACAGGCAGGGTTTTTACCCACTATGCCACAATGCCAGACCCTCCCTTTCACTCTTACTACTACTCATCTTGCTTAGTTCTTTCTCTTAAAAATAACACTGAGCCAAGGCCCATGCTGTGGCATAGTGGGCTAAACCTCTGCAATTCATATCCCAACTGCTCCTCTTCTGATCCAGCTCTCTGCTTATGGCCTGGGAAAGCAGTAGAAGATGGTCCAAGTGCTTGGGCCCCTGAACCCTCCTGGCTCCTGCCTCCTGGCTTCGGATCAGCTCAGCTGTGGCTATTGTGGCCATTTGGGGAGTGATGGAAGACCTTTCTCTCTGTCTCTCCCTCTCTCTAATTGTACTTCTCAAATAAGTAAATATAACCTTTTAAAAAAAAACCAAGCCCATAAGCTTTTGACTTTAATATAAATTACAAATATTACCTTAAAATACTAAACAAAATATCTTTTAAAAAAAAATCAAAGCAGGGGCTGGTTTTGTGGCATAGTGGCTAAACAGTGCCAGTGTCCCATATAGGTGCCGGTTCAAGTCCCAGTTGCCCCACTTCTGATCCAGCTCTGTTATGTATGGCCTGGGAAGGAAGTACAAGATGACTAAAGTCGTTGGACCCCTGCCCCGACATGGGAAACCTGGAAGAAGCTCCTGGATCCTGGCTCCTGGCTCCTGGCTCCTGGCTTCAGATCAGCACAGCTCTGGCCGTTGCAGCCAATTGGGGAGTGAACTAGCGGATGGAAGACCTCTCTGTCTCTCCACCTCTCCTCTCTCTGTACAACTCTGACTTTCAAATAAATAAATAAATCTTAAAAAATAAAAAATTAGGGGCCGGCGTTGTGGCGCAGTGGGTTAACACCCTGGCCTGAAGCACCAGGCATCCCATATGGGTACTGGTTCAAGACCCAGCTGCTCCACTTCCAATCCAGCTCTCTGCTATGGCCTGGGTAAGCAATAGAATATGGCCCAAGTGCTTGGGTCCCTGCACCCACGTGAGAGATCTGAAAGAAGTTCCTGGATCCTGGGTCCTGGGTCCTGGCTTCAGATTAGCACAGCTCTGGCCGTTGTAGCCAGTTGGGGAGTGAACCAGCAGATGGAAGGCCTCTCTCTACCTCCTTCTCTCTCTGTACAACTCTGACTTTCAAATAAATAAATAAATCTTAAAAAATAAAAAATTAGGGGCCGGCGCTGTGACACAGTGGGTTAAAGCCCTGGCCTGAAGCACCCGCATCCCATATGGTTACTGGTTCGAGACCCGGCTGCTCCACTTGCAATCCAGCTCTCTGCTATGGCCTGGGATAGCAGTAGAAGATGGCCCAAGCCCTTGGGTCCCTGCACCCATGTGGGAGACCTGGAAGAAGCTCCTGCCTCCTGGCTTCGGATCGGCACAGCTCTGGCCGTTGCGGCTATCTGGAGAGTGAACCATCAGATGGTAGACCTCTCTCTCTTTCTGTGTGTAACTCTTAATTGCAAATAAATAAATCTTAGATTAAAAATTTAAAAATCTCAGAATAAGTGAGCTAAAAACTCTCAGAACTACTTTTCTTTGTTTTATTTAAATTACATTTTAAAAATCTATTTTAAAGGCAGAGACAGAGAGCTTCCATCCACTGGTTCACTTCTCAAATGTTGCTCACAGGGCTGGACCAGGCGAAAGCCAGGAGACTGGAACTCAGTCTGGATGTCTCAGATGAGTGGCAGAAGCCCATCATCTGCTGCCTCTGAAGACGCACATTACAAGGAGGCTGGATCTGACGCAGAGGAGCGAGGACTTGACCAAGGCTCTTTGATACAGTTTGTGGGCATCTCAAGCAGCTGCATGACCTCTGTGCCAAATGCCTGCCCCTCAGAATTCTTCTCTGACTTGACTTGTCAAGACTCCAGAGCTCATGCCACCTAGAGCCTGGGATCAACAAACTACAGACCCCTGTGGCCAGGTCTAGCCAGTGGCCTCTTCTTGTAATGCCCCCCGTGAGTCATGCCAGGGCTTTAACCCACTGCACCACAGCGCCGGCCCCACTTTGCCCTTCAAAAAATTAAATAAAGCTTGGGGCTGGTGCTGTGGCATAGCCCGTAAAGCTGCCGCCTGCAGTGCCAGCATCCCATAAGGGTGCTGGTTTGAGACCCGGCTGCTCCATTTCCGATCCAGCTCTCTGCTATGGCCTGGGAAAGCAGTAGAAGATGGCCCAAGTCCTTGGGCCCCTGCACCCACATGGGAAGAGCTGGAGGAAGCTCCTGGCTCCTGGCTTCGGGTCTGCACAGCTCTGGCTGTTGTGGCCAATTGGGGAGTGAACCATCGGATGGAAGACCTCTCTCTCTCTCTCTGCCTCTCTTCTCTCTGTGTAACTCTGACTTTCTAATAAATAAATAAATCTTAAAAAAAAAAAAGTAAAGCTTTTGAAAAAGTCCACTTTCAAAAAAAAGAAAAAAGTCCATTTTCACTATCCATACATCTTGGAACACAGCCACGCCTACTCATTTACATGTTGTCTAAGGCTGGTTTCAGCAACAAAGGCAGAGCTGAGTGGTTACAATATGGACAAGGTAGCCGGCGCCGTGGCTCAATAGGCTAATCCTCCACCTTGCGGCGCCGGCACACCGGGTTCTAGTCCCGGTTGGGGCGCTGGATTCTGTCCCGGTTGCCCCTCTTCCAGGCCAGCTCTCTGCTATGGCCAGGGAGTGCAGTGGAGGATGGCCCAGGTGCTTGGGCCCTGCACCCCATGGGAGACCAGGAAAAGCACCTGGCTCCTGGCTCCTGCCAGGATCAGCGCGGTGCACCGGCTGCAGCGGCGGCCATTGGAGGGTGAACCAACGGCAAAAAGGAAGACCTTTCTCTCTCTGTCTCTCTCTCTCACTGTCCACTCTGCCTGTCAAAAAAAAAAAAAAAAAAAAAAAAAAAAAAAAATATGGACAAGGTCCACAAACCAGAAATATTTACTGTCTGGCCGTTTACAGGAAAAGCTTGCTAAACCATGACTAAGAGGAAATAAGAACCTGTGATTGTCATTTTTGATTAACCTGATTCAGATAGTTTTATCATATCCTGTCCCTGTTGCAGATTTTTTTTTTTTCCTCATGGGCAGTATCTTAACAATGTTATTAGTTACAAACATAAATAATACAGTTTTCAAGCACTTTATTAGCCATTACTGCAGGTTAGTATAGTTCAGTTAATTCATAATTGCTCAACATTTGGCATGGTGATTAAGACATTGCATGGGACACCCACATCCATATTGGAGTGCCTGAGTTTGAAGGCTCTGGCTCCAGTTTCCTGCTAATGTGCACCCCGAGAGGCAGCCATGGTGGCTCAAATACCTAGACCCTGTCACCCATGTAGGAGACCCAGATTGATTTCCAGTCACTGGCTTTGGCCTTTTGAGAGCATCTGGAGAGTGAACTAGCAGATGGAGGATCTTACTCTGTTTCCCTGCCTCTCAAATAAGATGATAAAAAAAAAATATTCTTGAAGCTTGCTCAGTAATTTGAAGGGTACAGAGTCCCGGCTGCTCCTCTTTTTTTTTTTTTTTTTTAAAGATTTATTTATTTATTTGAAAGTTGGAGTTACATAGAGAGAGAAGGAGAGGCAGAGAGAGAAAGAGAGGGGAATTCCATCTGCTGATTCACTCCCCAGTTGGCCACAACAGCCAGAGCTGAGCCGTTCTGAAGCCAGGAGTTTCTTCCGTGTCTCCCAAGTGGGTGCAGGGGCCCAAGGACTTGGGCCATCTTCTACTGGTTTTGCAGGCCATAGCTGCTCCTCTTCTGATCCAGCTCTCTGCTTTTGTCCTGAGAAGACAGTGGACGATGGCCCAAGCGTTTGGGCCCTTGCACCCACATAGGAAACTCAGAGAAAGCTCCTGGCTTTGGCCTGGCCCAGCCCTGGTCATTGTGGCTATTTGGGGAGTGAACCAGCAGGTGGAAGATTCACTTTCTCTGTGTGTCTCCTCTCTCTCTCTCTCTAACTCTGCTTTTCAAATAAATACATAGATCTTAGAAACAGAAACAAAAAAATTTGTACTTATGCAGTTCTAATTTCCCACAATAACTGCAATAGCAAAACTTGTGTTCAAAAGAGTTTACATGCCCAAGTAAAGACTGAACTTTTCAATCTAAAATATCTACATTCAGAAAAAAATTCCATGATAATATCTGTTTTTTTTTTCATACCTTTCCCCAAGATGAGTGGGTGTTGCTTTAAATTTGTGCAACTAAAGAGTGCCTTAGGTAGACTCCCTAACACAAAGGAAGCAGTCTGTTCTAAAGGATTATTCAGGTCTTCCACCCATATAGATAGAATGAGTGCTTACCATCTTTAAATGTGTTTTCCTAGCTTCAATTAAATCCAACTTAGAAAAAATCAGATTTCTGCCTGTGCATTTGTTAACAGCATTTTGTGATGTCACAATTTTAGAAAGTGTATTATAAATTTTGGGGGCCGGCGTTGTGACATAGTGGATAAAGCTGCACCACTTCTGATCCAGCTCCCTGCTAATGTGCCTGGGAAATGCAGTACAAGATGGCTCAATGCCAGTTCAAGTCCCAGCTGCTCCACTTCCGATCCAGCTCTCTGCTATGGCCTGGGAAAGCAGTAGAAGATGGCCCAAGTAGACCCAGAAGAAGCTCCTGGCTCCTGGCTTCGGATTGGCACAGCTATGGCCATTTGGGGAGTGACCAGTAGATGAAAGACCTCTCTGTCTCTGCTTTCTCTGTAATTCTGTCATTCAAAACAAATAAATAAAACATCTTTCTTAAAAAAGTGTAGTATAAATTCTTAATTGCTTTGGAAGTACACATAAGAATACCTGGGGCTCTAGTTACATTTCCCATCTGACAATGTAGTCTTCAAAGTATCTAACTGCTCCTAAAATATGTATTTCTGTAGAGAGTTATGCAGGATTTGTATTCAACTATCTGAATGTCAAAGCCATGCTCTGACAGATTCACTGTGTTCCTGCAGAGCTTCAGTCATGTTTGAGCCTTTGTCAAGGTTAAAGTAAGCACTTGTTTGGGGAGAATGTAAATCAGTAGAGGTTCTCACCAAGCAGGATTGGCATTGTACCAAGTTATTAAAGCCATTTTCCAGGTCCACCTGCCATGTGCTAAATACCTTTTATAAGCTAGCTTCTGTTAGGCAAGTAACAAATAACCAAATTTCACTTTTGGCTTAATGTTACACATGGGGTGGCACAGGCATGGTTCTACATCTCTCTCTCTCTTTTTTTAAAATAAAGATTTGTTTGTTTATTTGAGAGGCAGAGGCAGAGAGAGCAAGCGAGCAAGTGAGGAGAGAGTTTGCTATCCGCTGGTTCACTCCTCAAATGGCTGCAGTGACCAGAGCTGGGCTGATCCGAAGCCAGGAGCCAGGAGCTTCTTCCAGGATCTCCCACATGGGTTCAGGGGCCTAAGCACTTAGTCCATCTTCTACTGCTTTCCCAGACCACAGCAGAGAGCCAGGTAGGAAGTGGAGCAGCCAGGACTCAAACCGGCGCCCACATGGGATACTGGCACTGCCGGCAGCAGCTTTACCCACTACGCCACAGTGCCAGCCCCAGTCCTACATATCTATCACTAAAAGGCATCGTGGTGTGTCGCTCCCCCTCTTCACGGAGAAACGACACTAGACCCTGCACTGTTCTTTTGTCTGCTCGGCCCTTCCCGGGTTTGCTGCTGGTCCTTCCCAGGTTGGCTGCCGTCCCTCCACCTCCGTGGAGGGGCGGGCCCCCCTGCCACTTTCCCCACTTCCGCGAGGGAGCGGCACACCGCCGGCCGGCTCTCTCGGGAGCTGCTCAGGTGTTCCTCAGGTGTTCCCCTTAGATGTTCCTGGTGCATGTTGTCTCTCTCCTCCTTTATAGTCCTCTTCCACCAATCCCAACTCTGCTACCCACACGCCGAGTACGCTGCTCTCCTCCAATCAGGAGCAGGTCCTGCAGCTTGTCAAGTAGGTGAGAGGCAGCTGTGTAGAAGCTGTTTCCTCATCTCCCAGCGCCATATTGTGGGAGAGCAGATGCATAGAATAAGTCTTAATTCCAGTAACTTAGTCTAGTCTGAGTTGCTCCCCACAGTGGTGCAGTGAAAAGCTGAGCTTCAGACAAGATGGATTTGGGTTTAAATCTCCTGTACCACTTACTAGCTGTGTGAGCTTGTATAACTTCTTTAACCTGGGTAATCCTCTGTTTATCTACAAACCAGGGATAATAATAGCACTTCTAGCCCTGTCATGAAGGTTAAATGTTTAAACACGCAGAGTGCCCTGAGCAGAGAGGTTCTGAATAATTAACAGTGATTCTTACTCAGCCTCTCAAAACCCATGCCCTTGGCTTCTTGACATCTGTGGTTTGGAGCTTTACCCTTCTTTGAGGAAGGAATAAGACACAAAACTCAAGTCGGTCTGTATTGTGACTCATTTGATACTGTGGATAGATAGCTCAGTGGAAAGGAAGTCGAAGTTCCTGCCTGAATTAAGGTTTTCGTTTTGTTGGAGAAAAAAAGAAGTGAAATCACTTTCGTGAATCACAGAGAAAGAGAAGTGGTCCTGGCCGCGGAGGGCACAGCCTCTAATGATAGCCAGGGTAGACGGTGGTCTGCCCTCACCCACCATTTCACATTCCACGGTTCCAGTTCCCGTTGGTCTGCCACAACCTGAAAATACTAGATCGAAAATTGCAGAACTAACACCCAGGTTTTAGATAACTTTCCTAAGAGTATTTGATTATAACTGTTTTATTATTAGTTATTGTTTATCTCTTCCTATGGCTAGTTTATAAATTAAACTGTATTGTAGGCATGTATGCATAAGCAAAAATACAGTGTACATAGGTCTCAGTACTATTTATGGTTTCAGGCTTTCCCTGGAGGGGTGAAATGTATCCCCATGAACAGGAGGGCTACTGTAACTGAGGAGTGGGGTGCAGCTCCTTTGCATTCTTGAGATTCTCCCTTGAAGACTCTCCCTTGTGGAAGAACCGAGGAGAAGGCAAAGCCTCCTGACTAACGCCATGCTTCTATTGCTCAGGGCTTAGCTAGTGTTTTAACGAACCAGCTAGTCAGAAAAACAACGCGGGTTCCCCTTGCTTCTGTTTGGTGTGCTGTCCAGCCCTGTTCTTGGACTAGACTTGGGATAACTCTATTGGATAACGGGGTAATCTACTTAACAGCAGATCTGAATTTGAATCCTGACACCTTCACTTACCTTTATTATTCTGATGTCTAAATTAATGGCCTTTTATTCCTTGATTTATCCTGTCTTATGTTCATTCTAACAGAACATTTATCAGGCATTCTCTGTATGCCAGGCCTAGACTGGATTTAGAAGTACAAAGTTAAAGGAACCATGACACTTGTTTAGGGCAACTTGTCAACCACAGTGACCTACAAACTCTGCTCAACACACCGCCATTAAAACAGTTTTGAACATAAACCCCTATCTATGTCCATTTTTGTACACTACATGCATGTACTTCCTTACTATTGTGTACATATGTTAGTTATTGTTTAAGAAACACAGTATTGGGGCCAGCACTGTGGCATAGCAGATTAGAGCCCTGGCCTGAAGTGCTGGCATCCCATATGGGCGCTGGTTTGAGTCCTGGCTGCTCCACTTCTGATCCAGCTCTCTGCTATGGCCTGGGAAAGCAGTAGAAGATGGCCCAAGTCCTTGGGCCCCTGCACCCACGTGGGAGACCTGGAGCAGCCAGGACTTGAACTGGTACCCAAATGGGATTCCGGCACTGCAAGCAGCAGCTACACCACAGCGCTGGCCCCTCTGCTGAGTATTAAAATGAACTATCTCAGTATGAACTGTTTGCAACCAGCACAGAACTAATTAGCTATCAGATCCAAACCACACCAAGGTCAGCTTGGCTCATGGAAGCCAGGAGTCAGTTAGTAATGGGGAAAAAATAAGTTCCTCAGTGCAAGAGAGCTGAATAGTCTTTTGGGAGCATTTCCCTGGCAGGTACAAGTGGTATTAGGAATCCTTTTGGCAAAAGATAGAAATAAACAAAAATGGAATGCTACATTTTTTTTAATCAGCAGATTGTCCCAGGAATGACAAAGCTATCAATAGACTAACAAGAGGATAACTTTGAAGCATTATTTGTTGTGGGCTTAAAAAACATTCAAAATGGATTTATTTAAAGGTGTCACAATAGCTACGTGCAGGCATTTAGGCTTAAGGGAAGCAAACTAAAAGACGACACGGGCTGGTGCTATGGCACAGCGGGTTAAAGCCCAGGCCTGCAGCGCCGGCATCCCATATGGACGTCACTTCGAGTCCCAGCTGCTCCTCTTCCCATCCAGCTCTCTGCTATGGCCTGGGAAAGCAGTAGAAGATGACCCAAGTCCTTGGGCCTTTGCACCCACGTAGGAGACTCAGAGGAAGCTCCTGGCTTCAGATAGGTACAGCTCCAGCCATTGCGGCCATCTGGGGAGTGAACCAGTGGATGGAACCATCTCTCTCTGTCTCTGTCTCTACCTCTTTCTGTAACTCTGCCTTTCAAATAAATTAATTAAATAATTTTTTAAAAAAGACACTCCCCCCAGGAGAATTTCTTTAAATCCAAGCATATTTGCTAAATAGCAATATTATACTTGGTAAGCAATAATTGGCAACAAAATAAGGTTGAAGGCTGTATGATTCTGTCCAGACCAGTCCCAGATACTGTGTAATAACCGAGATGCAAACTCATTTTGTTGTAATAAGCTGAGGCCAATTGTATCAAATATGTCCTTGGTTAGATTATCCAGTTTAATGTTTTGAGAGCGCCTTCGACAGCCAGTCAAGTGACCAGTTCCTTGTGTAGCACCAGTCGCTCGAACAGACCATGTTCCATTACACAGCGACACAGACCTAATTTACCTGTCATTTCACGGATGGCCACAGAATTTGGCAAAGCTTGTTTGTTGGCAAAAAGCAGCAGCACTGCATCGCGAAGCTTGTCTTCCAGAAGGACTTTCCACAGCTCTGCTCCTTCCTGAATTCTTCCACCATCACTGCCGTCTGCCACAGAAACAAGACCCTGGGTGTTCCGGAAGCAGAGCCTCCGGAGATGCCTGCTTTTATCCTGACCACCGACGTCCCACACGGCAGATCAATGTTCTTGTACCCTACTGTTGCCACATTAAGGCCAGAGGTAGTTATGGTGGCGAGGATCTCCCCTCACTGTGGTTCATGCAGAATGGCTGTCCTGCCCCCAGCAGCCCATCCAGTCATCAAACGGTGCATCTGCTTCTTGCCCAAGAGGCGGGAGAAGAGAGAAGAGATGGTGAGGCTCATGGCGGTAGTGGCACTTGGGATGGGCAGAAGCAGAAGGGGTTTGGGGTGTCCGTGGGCTTCTTTTTTTTTAAAGATTTTATTTATGTATTTATTTATTTGAGAGGTAGAGTTACAGAGAGAAGAAGAGACAGAGAGTAAGGTCTTCCACCTATTGGTTCACTCCCCATTTGGCCACAACGGTCAGAGTTGAGCCAAGTAGCAATCTGGAGCTTCTTCTGGGTCTCCCAAGTGGGTGCAGGGGCCCAAAGACTTGGGCCAGCTTCCACTGCTTTCCCAGGTGCATTAGGAGGGAGCTGGATCACAAGTGGAACAGCCAAGACTTGAACCAGTGCCCATATGGGACACTGGTGCTGGAGATAAGGCTTAGCCTACAAGGCCACAGCGCCAGCCCCCCAGGCATTCTAAGCCCCTCCTGGCAAACTGAAGGAGAAGGACAAGGAAGAAAGAGGGCCGCAGGGATGGCTCGCTGGCCGGAGCTCTGGGACAGGAACCAGCAGGCCAGGACCTGCTCGGCCACTTGCAGCCACCGTTTTCGAGATGACTGAGCTGGTGGTAGGCTCTTCTGATTACCCTTTCCTTGTCATTATGACTGTGATGATAAACTCCTTCCCTCAGGACTTGCCTTACATGATTTGTGTCGCCTTTCAAGATACCCCAGACTGTGCAAAGTAGAGAGAGAGAAGCGTATTTCTCACAATTGTGGCCTGGGAAGCCTAAGACCCAGGTGTCAGCTGGCTTGGTGTGCCGTGAGGCCTGCGCTTCAGGGTGGCACCTGGATGGGAGGAACATCGTGTCCATACCTGCTGGAATATTTGGGGCGGGGTGCGTGGCAACCCTGCCACCACGGGCCCCCTTCGAAAGCACTAATCCTCGCAAAGAGATTGCCTCATCACCTCCTAGGAGCCTCACCTCTTAATACTGAATTGGGAATTCAGTTTCAACATGAATGTTGGAGGGGACGCAGACATGCAAGCAGCACTGTTATCATTCATTCATGCACTTAACAAATTTCACTGAGCACCCAAGTATTAGACTGACAAAGGACTAGAGTTGAGTGCTTA